AAGTGAAAGGATTTACAGAGTAGAGATTCATTTTTGTTCTCTGCGGTCAGCAGTTGCCATGACAGTACGTAAGCACACACGACATCAATTTTGAGTACCTACACCAACAGCCCATCTGGTCATGCAGTCTCCAAAGTGCTAAGTTTTTGTTGCAATTAATATAAAGAAAACAAATTTACAACTCACCAAGGGTTGGGTCGTATTCATGAATAAATCTTCCGGTTGTAAACCGCACTAACAATGCTGCGTACATAAAATGAACGAGTAAATAAGTAACATGTCATCACTACCTCTGCAACACAGACTGTATCAAAGAACTAGACATATTTTCTGCAGATAGAATGATACAGAATAGGGCTAAAAAAATTTCCGAATAAGAGTGGGCCGGATAAGAATCTAGATGTTGCATCCCAAACTTAGGATGTGAAATTTTCAACCCTTTAACTTCTAGAAGTGATTGACAAGTAACTTCTCTCTATGATATCCGTACACTATCCAGCAAACAGGTAATGAGAATATTCAAACTTATCAGGTAGAAGTTATCTTGATCTGACATCAAATTCTCGTAAATAAGTTACACTGTAAAGGAAATGTGTAACAGGCAAAGGGGAGAATTAACAGTCAGATCTTGAGAATTAATAGAAATATTTTCCTAAATATGACCTCGTACGCCGTGTGATCTAAGTAGTTAATTATTGTATACATTTGAAGCGTCCACTTTCTATACGAGACAATCAGTTTAGACTTCAATAGAATATCAAGTGGTAGTACTGTTGACTTTTCCTACAAGTATCGCGTAAACAGAAAGTAGTTCTGAACCCTGGTTATTGACCTTTAAACCATGATTTTGTCTGACTGCATACACTCAGGTGCAAATACTTCGTCACAAAGCACAAAGTATAAACCACCAGGCCCAACTGCTTTACCGATTGCGTCTTTACATTACCTTCATTCGCATAATCAATAACTTACTTTTTTTATATTTTAGAGCAACATTCAGTTGAGCGTTGAAAGTATTCAAGGATTGTATTACTTTGATATAAAGCTTCATATGTTGAGGGTTTGGAATGGGTTGGCTGACAACAATTTGTAGGTTAATTTTGCTAGGTATGTGCCGCTGGCCTCTCAGAACCCGTATATACCCCATTGTAGTGTACTTTGTGATCAATCAATGACCCATCTTACTCACTTTTGGACAAACGTAATTTTCGCGATCCCAACTGAGTCACTTTCTGTTTATGCATCTGCCTCATAGAACATTTTAAGTAGGTCATCCTAAAATGAATTGACGCATTTACTAAACTTACCCCGTAGTCGCGCCCGAATCCTGAAAAAGTGCAACTCCAGTCAAGTAACTCGATTGAATATGTAATTCCATTACACTCAATCCCGTCGTGAAAATGGATTGATTCCTTCTAGTAGTATATCACCATGAAGTACCCCCCCCCCCTTCCATTCCAGGCTTACGTTAAGCTTAGCTGCAGTCAGACCAGTCAGCTACACTCAAAAACATCCTGTTGGATGTGCTTTAGAGGAATTTGTGGCAGCCGCAGTGTAAACGTGCATGCTACAGTACCCCATGAGTCGATTTATCCGGAAGGATAAAGCACTCACACTCTATGTCAGGAATCAAAATGCCAAAAAAATTGAACCGAATTTCTAATCTGATTAAGTTCTTTACCCTCCGCACTTGATTAATGCAATTTGAATGAGACTTTTTTATAGCAACACAAAAAAATGTTATCTGGTTAACCTGTGGTACGATGCGTTATCATGCATATTACCCACGACAGTGTGGGTTATCAGTTCGACTAAAGCCGAAACACATTTCGCAAAAGGAAAATAAAGCATCTAGATTGCCAGTATTTTTAAAATCAGATCATATTCTTATGTTAATAAATTGAACACATACACAAATTCCTTCCGAACCCAACAATATTGTTCTCATTTTAAGGTTCGCTGCATGGACATCGTCTGTTCAGGAAAAAGGTATTTAGGTTACACTGCGATTTAATTTGATACCACAGGATTACATGCATTTCTGCTAACATAGCTGAATGAGTTTTCAGTGATTCATATCTTATGCGCCATACTGTGCTTCGAATGTAGTGAAAGGTATTTTTCAGTAAACTAAATGTTGAGTTCACCTTTCTCATTTCAGAGACGTCCAATTTATCACAGGATATTTTGTGTCGTCCATTTGTTTTATTTTTAAGCTCATGAGATGGGATTTATATGGGTTATCCTTAAATATCGGATTGTTCCAACGGATTACGATTTTTTTCCTAGAAAAGTGAAGAATTCTTATTGAGATCAAAGCACCGAAGCACTACTTGATGAGATGAGTGGCCGCCAACATTTACCAAGTATACTTTTTTTGAATAGAATAAAGTGTATAATTACCGCAGTCAAAGACTGTAGTCTCGATCTCTTCAGGCCCTTTAAAATACTAACTTGCAATCACATACAACTAAATAGCTTACATATTCGATCAATTCCGAAGCTGTCAGGCGTGAATTTCCTTATGATAACATCAAAGACAAGGCTTTCACTTTAACTTTGCTGAGTACTAGGAACCCACCTAAATTCTTTATAGCTACGCACTGTGTTCGATCAGTCAACTTTGACGTAAATCAATGACTACATTTTCATTTTGAATAAAAGCCGAAAATCGCTGCCTTTAGAATTTAGGGTTGCTTGGCTGACCCCCCATAACAAAGTGAAGTTATGGAACCAATACCTAAAACGATCAACTTGAGTTAAACAAATAAAAATATGAAATAACACACTCAAAGGTGCCGCGTGAAACAAATATTTTCGAAGAGGAGTTGAAATATATATTTTTCCTTAACTAAACTCCATTGTCTGAAGGACTGATGAAATTCGACTTTTTGTGTTTGTAAACCATAACAACCATTTTTTCCCTTCAAAAAAAATTGCATGGGCTTTGAATAATGAGACATAATTGGAATTTAATTTGTTTTCGTAGCTTTTCACAAGAGCACAGGTATTCAAATAATTTGTAAGGCCAAAATTATTATTCTATCTTAAATAAACACAGCAGGTCAGAGCGAAACAAAACTGGATTCTGCGAAAGGAATGATTTTATTTTTCATGAGGCAACAATGAGCCAAGAGAAAGAAAAGGAACCGTTTACTAAAGTCACGCTACTTGGTTCAAGTTGGCTCAATTATAATGACTGGGCTTTTTTAAAACATTCTTGTATAAGCTATCATCATCTTATTTCTCACGTAACATCGTAGTATTGACTTACCCGATTTCCCAACACCTCCCTGTCCAAGAAGAACAATGTTATAATCTCTGAACGAGCTGCTTCTTCTGTGTAACGAACTCGATGTCGTGTTGCGCGAATTTAACGACGCGGGTGGCTGACCCACAAAAGGCTCGCTGTCTCTTCTCCTTGATCGATATTTCATTGGTTTCTTACTTAATACTGGGGAGCTTGGTGATCCAGGCGGACTCGGACATCTGGGTGATGGGCTGTCATAGTCACCACTGTAACGCGCTTCGTTAGTCTTTCTGTCCGGGGACGAAGGAACTTGTGGTGGAGGGCTGCAACCCCTTTCCGCGAAATCCTTCTTACCTCGTTTAGCCTTGGACAATTTCTGCGTTTCTAAAGGAGGGATTATGCGGTCCGCTCTCAAGATGACCCCTTTTGATTCCGCGAAATGTTGTTGTAGCACGACGGCTGGCGCAGAACCTCGTCTTCGAAGCATTCTAGAGGAAAATTTCACCACTGATAAATGGTGGCACTTGAGCTACTGCTCTGAACTGCGAAAATGCACAGTTCGTTTAAATTTTTGTCTGTTGCCAGTTCAACCATGAACAGCTGCTAGGCAATTGTCTGAGTAATTGTTCGCGGCAGTTTTCATCGATAATAATTGCGTAAACAAGCACGATATCATTCGCATGCTCCACTGCCCTTTGTTTGCTGTTGAACCGAGCTTTTCAATTTTTCTACCGAATTAACCGAGCACGTCAAGAGGTAATTACTAGACATGTAAATCAGCGGACGGCAAAATATCTTTTGTCCACAACAAGAGGTTAGTGACCTTCCAGATTGAGCTAAGCCGCCCTACATCAATCAGTAAAGTACGCGAAAATTGTTTAAATCCTATTAAACAATTGCAACGTTTGGGAACTGCGGAGCACTGTTCTGTTGCTTTATGACAGGGAAAAGTTTCAAAATTGCTTTATTTGAAGAACAGATAGAATGGTGTGTTCTCACAGGAGCGCTCGATTGATGTTTCACAGGGTTGGGTTTGTGGTTGCGTTGATGAGAATTGTGTGATGGATTTGTTACTGATGGCTGATTAGAAAAGTCTGTGATCGTTGTGAAACTGGCTACGCTTAAAATAAACCATCGATAAATAAAGAATGACTCGTCTTTGCTGTGGGGAAATTTCATTGCTTGGACAGTTTGCAATACGAATCTTTAGAAGCCTTTGTTTGCAAACAAAAATTTAAAGATAATGGCATTGTGTTGTTTAGGAATTGTAGATAACATGACGTGAAAGGGCGTGGAAGACCGCTGGAATCTATCAAAGCTAAGAGAGAAAGATTGTAAACAGGAAATGAAAAATAGGTAGCCTAAGACTGCATGTGAATACTGATATAGCACAAAATAGAACAAAAATGGTTGTATAATGACGCTAGAAGGTGGTGCTGCCAAAGATTTGTATTCACTTGCAAAACAGTAAACCCGCTGCATCCCACATATTTATTAGTACCCTGATCTGATGAATCAGATGAAGATAAATCAAGAATATGGGGGTTTGCTCGAATGTCTAACGGTCCCCCAATCCTCTAGGCTCCAATAATGATTAAGGAATGCTTCTTTTAGTTTTACCTGTTAAATATAAATAATTTTCTTACTTTGCTGCGACTCCATTTTTGTGAGATTTTTGTTTCATAAAAAAAAGGAATTCTGCGGTTTAGGATACTCCGTCATTCTGCGTCTTAGAGCATTCTGCCATTCCGTGTCTTAGGATATTTGACCTTTTCGCTATTCCGCTGTTCCACTGTTCTATCATTCCATTGACTGGGGTCACCCTATAAACTTCGCAACTATCTCGCTTCGCAAACTTAGCGGCTCTTTTGGGTAAAAGTCGCTGATTCAAACAAAATGTGCTCTTTTCAATTAAAAAAAATTCCTCAAAGTTGCCATGATGCGCACATCACACCTAGTGAGATATTTCTGTAAGGAAAAGTTTGGTTTAAATTATGCGTCGGTGGATGCCACTGTAAAATTGTTTTAAAAATTATTTATCGTCAATCGTAAAGTCACGGCAAGAACTGAAAAATTATATCTCCGTATCTACTGAGCATAATTTGCCAATTCAAATGGCAAAATTTTCTCTTTAAAGAAACAATGTTGCCTCAAGTTTTCATGATGTGCTGAGCACACCTATGAAGATATTTGTGCAAGGAAAAGTTTCGTTTCTAATTACGCGCAATCTTGAAATGATTATGAGAATTTTTTCGTCTTCTGCTGTCCTCTGAAGTGTTACGGCAAGAACTGAAAACGTAATGCACTAATGGCTATAAGCCTGAAATAAAAAAAAGAGAGAACTCGTATGTGTATCAAATGCGAATGTCGAACCAATAAGATACTCCGAAAACAATGATAAGAAGCTCCGGGAAACATCGCTTCAAAATTGGGGCAAGATCGGAACTCTGTTGCTACTTACCATCTCTTCTCTCGATAACATACGTGGCTTCGCTTCCTATAAGAGGCAGTAGCCTGAGGAACTCCAAGCTGGGGGTAATCCCCTGTGGCATTTCGATGGCTAATCCAATGGTCCATTTTGCAGTTGCGTGATCGGTTGCCAAGCCTTTGAACAGAAGTGAAGCTAAAGGTGACCTTGTTATGTTACAAACTTTGCTGCTTTCGTCTGATGAAATACAATTTCACTATCCTTGGGACCGCAATTCAAATTTTCAAGGAGGGAAAAGTAACAAATCTTGCAATCTGATTGGTTCTTAACACGTTATGGGTCCACGGTCAATACTCACCGGATCTGAAATATCGCTTACTGACTCTTCTCCCCTAGCAATAAAGTGGTTTTCCGCGGTAGGAAATAGAAATACAAACATTAGCAAGTTGAAGTTGGCTAAGTCGCCGTATATTTCCACAAGTGTGGTTGAAATGTGTTACTGTTGGCCAAGTGCTACCGTGGGTGACAGTCGAGGTTGCTTCACAGCACAGGTTTACGCACGGTCTGTGGCACTACGCGTGCCTGCACGGGCTTTAAATCAGACAAACAAACACTGAGGAAAAACGTTCGTCGCCCCTTTTCCTCCGCTTTCATAATGCACCCTTCAAATCCCAACATGAAAAAACGAGTTACCGGTTCAGTGTGGCCAGCTAAAATTCATTCTCTTAACTTCTACGATAAGCATTATTTCATTGCATCTACTGACAGGAAACACTGCAGTAAAATGGATCAAATCACCTCAACAACCTGTTTGGTAAAATGCTCTTTTTAATAACAAAATCTAAACGTTTACGTCTTTATAACGCTTCTGAAAAACTGCAAACAAATAAGTAACGGTCTTAAAAACAAAACTAGAAAAGTAGCTTTAACATAGGGTGTGTAAATAGTTGACACTGGAAAAATTACAATGTAACAACTGAAGAAAGACTGACGTGTTACCTTTTTCCCGGTTTTTTTACAATCTCTTCGTAAACTGCTAAAAACCACAACAATCTGAGTTACATTCTCAGCTTTCTCTCAAGTTGCAGTGGTACTTTTTTCCTTAAATTGAACTACTCTTCTTTACATTTTTAACAATAGGTAACAACTGAAAATCCCAAAATTTAGTTTCTTTCCTCTTGGAGGAGACTTAATCACTATTTCTGCCAAGCCTGTATATTCCGGCTGACTTACATTAAACTACACAGAAGCAGTGTTCACTCTTATTGATACGTCCTAATTATAACTGCGTGTCAAAAAAAAAAAAAATAACAAACAAACAAAAACAAGTGATATCGTATCACCCGGTGACTGAAACTAACGATAGCGCTTTTTGAAAACACTTCGGGGAAACCTATTCTTCTGGTATCTTCAAAACTATGAGTCCCATTTTTGTGCATTGGCTTTTATCTACAGGGTAACGCGAAAACTGTTATCTACCCACGTTTTCTTTCTTTATCTTAGTCGCTTGGTTTACTTTATTATGGTAGTCTTAGATAAAAATAAGGCAGCGTTTTTTCTCCTTTGTCATGGAACGAATCATAATTCAAACTACACTTCGAATTAAGTGCAATCCTTGAATTGCCAGTAGATGGAATGTAACCCAACGCCCGAAATACGCCTCACTTGTCGTTAAAAACTTCCCTATCGCTAGGGCGCACGCGAAAATCGGCATCCCCAAGTTTTTTAAACTCTAGGTTACGACGATGAAATTCCTTGAAAAATGTTTAGGGAGCATTTTAT